TGCTTTTAGCCGACATTAGGGCTCCAATCCCTGAGTTGAGCGTTTTTCCTTTAGCCGACATTATGATTCCAATCCCTGAGTTGAGCATTTTTCCTGTTAGCCAGCATTAGGGCTCCAATCCCTGAGTTGAGCATTTTTCCTGTTAGCCAGCATTAGGGCTCCAATCCCTGAGTTGAGCGTTTTGCCTTTAGCCGACAGTAGGGCTCCAATCCCTGAGTTGAGCATTTTTCCTGTTAGCCAGCAAATTCCAGGTTACTTTCATTGTGTATCCAATATGTATAAATATATGTCCTTTAATGCTTCCACATTACTGTTCATCTTAAGAATGACAGTCTAATCTCATTTTATACTTTATAACTTTTATCCCTCCATTGTTGATTCACCTCAATATTGATCTATAATCTACCTCTGATAACTTAACCTTTTATGTAACATTGTCGCTAGGGTTCACGTTCCATCGGGGAATATGTGAAATGATTAGATTGATCCAGGGCGATATCATGCTTTCATAACCGTAACTCACAGCATCCCATACGATTCACCTTGCGTGGGTATTTTAATTATGTCCAATTCATGAGACCCCTTTCTTTTCTTCGTCAGATCATTACTCAATCAAAGGCCCAAAGTCATCTTTTATATATCACAATTACACCCTTATTCTATTACAAGGCAGCATTCCATCCCTTTTAAATGCTATTAGTCTTAGACTCCTTTGAGTTCATTCAGGCTATAGTGAGCTTTTATAACTTACAGAAACTATCTGTTCTTCTTGTTTTTATTTGCTTAATCCTGAGGACTTCTCCATTTTCGTTACCTTCTCACTCGCCTGTTCTTATCCTTACTCTTGTCTTCTAGAACCTTGTCGCTTCACCATACAATAGCTTGCGACCTACACATATCTATTTATATTACTTGCAACCTTTCAACTTCCTTGCATCATATATTTTCTTATGTCATTTTGGAACATCAAGCGAGACATCACATCGTCTCCAACTCTTCTTCACTCTCTTAGTCAGGCTTTTCGATACCTAGACCATAAGCTGGAAGATATGCTACTGACGATGCCGCTATTATTCCTAGATACTGAATCCCCGTGCTTCTAGCCTTTTATCCGAAGTAAGGATTATTCACAACCTAAATTAAAAAGCTCAAACATATAAACTTATTGAAGCAATCTATCAACCCGAGGAAAGTAAAAGAAAAGTAATACAAAATATTCATATAACGTTAAATTAGAAGAGCTGGAGATATAGAAAATTTGCATTTCAATTGCAAGATTTTTTGTCAAATATCAAGATTTTTGTACGCTCTAAACAAAGAGAAGTCGTTCATATGATTAAGACACTATATCACGATGAAACATTTAAAGATTTGAAGAATTTTTTTTTCTAAAAAGCCGAAGCCCACGGCCCTCGTAGGCTGGGCTGTAATAGCCATTTTAAGACCCATTAAGATGGCAGGTCGTACTATTTAAAAGCCCACAAAATTTAAAAGCCCACGAGGCTTGAGTTGGATTTCGCTGGACCTTTTTGATTGCTCTAATCAAAATCACTCCCAACGAGCCCACAAGAAGTGATCCCATTTTTTTCATCCAGCTAAATTCATGATAAGATTATGTCATAAGTTAATTTTTTTTCCGGTCGTTACGGCACGAAAGTTAATAATAATTAAAAGATAAAGATAGAGTTTCTAACGATACCTACAAGACCTCTATTTTATTGGACACAAGCTTGTTTTGAAAGATGGTACTTTAAGACTATTGAATCATATGCTGGTTTTAGAATTGGAAAAAGAACAACTAAATTTCGCAAATACAAGTATCTTAATTCTAAAAACCACAATAATATCAGCCTCTTTAGAACATAAAACAAAAGAGAACCAAAAATGAATTATTTAAATTAACCAAACGTATAGCAGTAATAGTTACAACTATAGCTTTTAATACAAGATCGTTCAAGACTGTTCGGCAACGACTAAATATTATCAGATACTTATATTAACAAAAATGTCAGGTCACACCTCAAAGTAGAAGGCTTATAACTACAGATTAAGATGTTCTCAAAAACTACTAAATTCAGAAACCTATAGATATAATACATCGAATACTTCAACAAAGAGGTCAGATTTACAATACAAATGATAAAATCTCAACCAAGACCAAACTTACATAACTTCAATTATATATTGATGAAATCCCAAACAATCCACGTTTAAATAGTTATAGTTCAACTGCCTTATCCCTTCCTCCCTGACACGCCTCCCCGCGCAGCTTGCAAAAGCAAGCATCGCAGTATGGCGCCAAACCATCAGTTGCCTGTAAATTTGTTCGGAGAAACAAACCAAAGTAAAGTTAGTACAACTGCATTGTCCACAGAATGCAAATGCCAATGATTACCATTTTCCAGACACTTCTACTCCACAACTTTGTATTTTATGCAAGCATTAACGACATTGGGATTTCCACTTAAGTTAGTCCATGTCGCCATGCCTCTACGGTTTATAATTTAGAACTTTGACATCTTGAACTTCACCTTAGTTGCACTTTCAATTTTCTTGTGGGAATATTCAGGCACGATAGTGAAAGTTAAATGTTAAGTGCTAAAACTCAAGTAGGACTTCTTGTGGGAATATTCAAGGCAGGATAGTGAAAGTTAAAAGTTAATAGGGCAAAAACTCAAGTAGGACTAGGAAAAGAATGACCCTAAAAGAGTTCACAGCAGAAAAAGTTTCTCTAGCTGTCACTGGAATAAAGAGACAATCTCCTCCTTTAAGCCCGCTTTTGACCATTCCAAATTCTGGAACTAGTAAGTACTTCGCAACTGTGGAATCTTTTTCATTAAACACTATAAAAAAAGATAAAGAAAAAGAATTTTTAAGAGAAAAATATATTTCGTCAAAAACAACCAGGATTTAGCAAAGATAGGGCTAATGTTCATCATTTATAGCACTCCAAACAAATAGGCTCTAGCCATTAAAAAACAAAACTAAGTTATTCTACTGCACATTACTACTTTTAATAGGTGTATAGTCAAGCATTCATAAGTTGCTGTAGTGGCATTTGCCCTTTCACCAAATGAATATAAAATGTTATGTTTAAAGAAATAGATAGCACAGCCACATTACTAAAAACCAAACACCTGTTGCGCATTGTTGGCCTTCTAAAAGTTACTTATGTTTGATATTCCCTTAGGCAAACCATAAAAAGCAAAACCCTAATGCGATGTGCCACTTGACATACCATTTATACAAAAACTTCCTATTTTAAAAAAACAAAACTTGTTCTTTATTATATTTTATCTTTTGGAACAGTCTTAGTTTTCTCGGGCTTAGTTGTTTAAGAAACAATTAATGACTATTTATGATATTTCTTGTACTTACGAACCACGTCATAAAGTCAGCATAACAAAATTGGGTATTAATAGCCACCAAAAAGGAAAGTGGCAATCCAAAACCCCGGGCGGCCTTACCACCATCAACACCAAAGGTGATGAACCAGAGTTAACAAAGTTATAGGACGACGGCAACAAATCCAAAAGTAGCACAACAGAACAAGGGGAAAAAAAGAAGAAAAAATATAGGCAAAATCTAACATTTATATTTAGTGGATTCAAGGTTCTGAGTCCTTCTAAAGTATTTGTTCAAGACTTAGTATTATGCTACTGTTCAGGGTTTTAACACATGGTTATGGTTTATGGTGAAAATGATGGATTCAACCGAACCCGCTCCGAACAATCTAGGCATGCATGTATATGTAAGAAGAAAAGAACAATGTCAAATGTGAAAACCTAATTAGATGCCAATATGAATGCCGAGAGTGTCAGCTTCTTAAATGTAAATATTATATATATGAAGCAAAAGGAAATGAAGCGTCTGCAGGTTGATAAAGATTGTTCCGTAGATGTAAAAACATCTGATGAATTCACATACTCTGTAGTTGAAATTTACCGCTTATAAATTTCGGCAAAGGAATATTGCAATTTTATTAACATACTTATTCTCCTATCTTCGACTTCCCCCCTATTCATATGCCTTCATATCCGGTGACGGAGCTAGGAATTTCAATATGGAGTGTCAAAATATAAAGAAGTAAACACACGAAGAAGCTAAGGGGAGTCAATTTATTCTCCTATCTTCGACTTCCCCCCTATTCATATGCCTTCATATCCGGTGACGGAGCTAGGAATTTCAATATGGAGTGTCAAAATATAAAGAAGTAAACACACGAAGAAGCTAAGGGGAGTCTACATATAGTATATATTCATAAGAATAAATTTTGACACCCCTAAACTTAAGGTGGATCTGCCACGGATCATATCCAATCAAGAAAATATGACTACGTGTAAATTTTTTTCTGTCTATTGTATACACGGTGACCAACTTATCACGAAATCCTGATCCAGACCACAGCTTTGCATTAACGTCATTCGAATTTCCACTTAAGCTACTCCATGCCACCAAGAACATAAGCGGAATACGAGAATTCAAATATCTTTCAGTTATCATTTAATACTTCTATCCAGACGTGGGCTATCAACAATATCAAACATGAAATATGTCAAGAAGAAATTTCGGACACTCCTGTCAAATCACATGGCAGTGTTTTGAGTACAAGTAATAAGGAAAAAAACAGATTAGTAAAGAAAAATGACTTGTGCTCGCAACTGAGGGAAGTCATTTTTCACACTTTTTAGGTGGAAAATATTTTCATGGTAACATGCTCCCCTATTCAAGGTAACACTAGAAAACGATTTCCTATGTTATAACATACACGCCCATGGGCCATGTAAAGCATGTTTTCTGTGGGATTCTCGAAACATACAGTGTTTGCATATAGTTATCCCAATGGACAGCCTATCCACAAGTCAATCATCTCAAAATACCAAAACCAACAAAGATTGAGCAACTAAAAGACTAGTTGCCATTGAAACACAATAACAAATAAAAGATTCGTTTATAAATGACCTATTTCACCCAACACACACAGACAAAAAAATAAAAGGAAAACAAAGAGGCAAATAGTAAACCTCGTTAGGTGTTTACCTCTTCTTTAGGCCGGCAAAAATAGATAATTGGATCATCAGCATTGCGGCGATTTTTAGCAGCATGGATTTGAAAAGTTTCGATAGGAGTACCAAGAGTGAGATTTAAGACTTTCACAGTCATCCAATATTCAAAGTACATGGTCACCGAACGATTCACCTTCTCAATCTTCAAAGCTTTGTACTTGAAAACCTACAAGGAGAGTCATTAGGTATCACTTACCGAAGAAACCAAGCCACAGAAGAAAATAAAGTCAGTTTACATACATTGCGCTCTTTCTCATTATATTCTTGGATAGCACGGTCAGCTAGTTCCATCAGTAACCCAACATCCTTCTTGAAATTATATGGTGCTATTCCAGCACATAAAGACGGACCGGGATGGACATCCAAGTCAAAACTCTGTCAAACAAGCAAGCAAAACAGGGATGAAAATTATCCAAAATGGGATAAAGAAGAGGGCTCATAATGAAACATCAGATTCGAGCTCATGACGGAGCAGTCAATTAGTTTAAAGTGAAAAGCGGTCACGATACGGGGATCGGAGATTTGATGCCAAAGGGGAACCGAAACAATTCCTAGGGACGCAGGATCAATATCTCAGCCTCCAGTATACATAATTTAATATACAAGTAACAGGTCTGTTAGTACTTGAGATTGAAATTTAGGAACAAAATTAGTGAAACAAGTAACAATGGGTTGGTTTAACTTTGATAAGAAAACTGACCCAAGGACATGAGATTAGATGAAATTTACATACAGTTAGCAATATGAATTGAAGCCATCAAAGCATAAAAGTACCCAAATATAAACTATAAGCTAAGGGAGAACAAAAAAAAAAGCTGCAGGAGAAGTGAAAGGAAGCAAACATGGGTTTGACGAATCTGGCAGAAGTATGTGAGCCAAATTGGCTCGAAATCAGGGCAATGCTCCTCCAGAGCGCCATAGGGCAAACTGAAAATTGGGCTTTTGTCTTCATGGCATGAACTTGACGGATCACAAGTGCAATAGGGGTTTAGAGGCCACTCCAAGAGGCATCCACCTTGTGCAATTTGTTCTTCCCTATGCTTCTGCATTTGCGATTCCAGTTCAAGCTTTTTCTTCATATCCAGGGGCACAAACAGAGATTCTAATCCTCCTCCGTCAACAGGATTTTTTCGGGTCACCGATTCCGGACAAATTTTTTGCCTCTTACCCCGTGTGACACTCGGCCATCCTTCAACTGCAAGGTTTTCTCGATTCAACATTTCTGTCCCATGATTCGAGATCAACTTTTCCAAATCAATCTTTTTCCCATCAACCAGTACCACAGTAGTCACGCATCCTCCTGCAAGTTTTTCTCGCCTCGCCCTCTCTATCGCAATCATCATCAACGTTTTAGCCACTTCTCCTCCTCCTCTCGTAACGGCCGTGTCCCAGATCCTCCTCCGCGTAACGGTGGCTCCCAGCAACGTTTTTGCCACTTCTCCTCCTCTCCTGATAACGGCCGTAGCGCAGATCCTCCTCCTAGAAGGTTATTCCACTTCGATTCGGCCATTCTCCTCGTTTGATTTTGAGAAAACCTCCCTTTTCTATCTCCTGCAAAATTAGGTTGAAGCGATTGGGGGTAACCCTAACCCTAACCCTCGCCCTATCTTAACAATAAAAATAAAAACAAGCTACGAAAAGGGAAGATGTCATTTTTAATCCTTGAGTTATTGGCTTTTTGCGATTTTAATCCCTATTTTATTGGACTTTGCACATTAACCTTCACGTAGACAAAATCTTTGTCTATTATTTTACCCAAAGAAATCCTCTACATTTATTTACGATTAGTCTCTATATTGTGCAATACACAAAATATAATACTGTTAAATATCAACTAAAAGTAATAAACTTTCAAGTGCGTAAAATATGTATGAACATAAAAAAAAAATATATATATATATAGAATATATAATTTGAATCAACTCATTAATAAGACTTTAATAATATTTTAAGGATAAAATAAAACTAAATATTCTAAGAGTTATGTTAAGAGTAGTAAATCACTTATCGAATGTAACTAATAAGGTTAATATTTTAACAATTCTGCAAATTAATTATTTTCGTTTCAAAAGTTTGAAAAGATCTGACCATATACAATTGATCTAACTTCTGTTTAGTTCGGATATATTTATTCCACGTTTACCTAGAGGAAAGTTTAGTATATTTAGTATTCGGATATTACTTTCATAAGTTGTTAAATAATTATTTTTGTTAACTTTAAAGTCCTAAATATTTGGTAAAAGTTTTTACAAGACAATCTTATCCAACATGAAATTATCATTCAAGGAAGTTTTATAGAATTATATTCATGGAAGTTGTATTGTATACATAAAATAACATGATTGTGTCCAAACTCCAAACTTTTATTAGATATAGTAAGAAAAGAAAGAGAAGTAGGTGCGGAATAAATAGATAAACAATTCGCACGCTCGTAATAAAGATATAACTATTTATTTGATAATAAAGATGTGGTTAACCTCCCCCACCTCTCTCTTTCACCTAACATTGCTTGCCTAGTCTTATATACTAATTGCCATGAATTATTCATTGTTTATTCTTCAGCTGTAGCTTAAAGGAACAATTCCTACCTATATTATTTATATTAAGAACTAATTTAATTCAAAATTAGATGATTAGAAATTTTTACCATTGCAATATCATAATGGGCTGATCTTTACTCATAAGTTGGGCTTAAGAGCAATGGTATATTCAAGGGTTTGTGAATGGGTATGCTAGAACTTTTTAATAGATTCAACACAGTATAGAAAATCACTTGTCATAAGAAGACTTATAGACTAGATTTAAGCTTGTGGATGGGGCAATGAGACCATTTTGCATATGGTAAAATAGTTAAAGTTTCTTTGAAAGTGGGATGTTCGAGTTATTTATAATTTTAGTGTTATACACAAAGTGATTTCAGCATATTGGATGATCTATAGCAAACTTTGTTCTGTTGTAAGCTTATGTAGATTCTAGAATAGTGTCATGTTGTACTATATTAGTTATTATTGGATAGAATCATACAACAATAAAATATCTTTCGGCAATGGTTGGCGGAGAAAGGAGAGCAATAGGAGAAGAGGGAAAAATCATATAGCTGAGGGGACTTCAGTTCTTTTTTTCAAGGTGAGGATTTGCTCGAAATAATATTAGAAAGGAACATGAAAAAAGAGAAGTCAGGCCCACCAAAGGAGCAACAAGAAGTGAAGAATTTTGGGCGGAGCAGTGGATTCAAATAAAAATAACTTTTATTAAAAAGTTTTGAACTAATTGAAGAAAATATTTACAATTGTAAGTCTATATGTGAAGATCCATCAAAGCGCCTTATACTTCTGATACGCTATGAACTAGATCAAAATTATAGCCGTCAAAATGGAGTTGGCCCGCGATGCCAGCCCTACCCAGCCCACTACTAGTTTAGGGTTGGGTTAGAATTTTTTTAGTCCATTTAAAACTGAGTCTTATAATCCTGGCCCAAGTCAATCCGGTGGCCCTTGAGACTGGGCCTGACCGGCTCGTGGGCCAAAAATTAATTAAATTAAAATTTAAATATTTAATATTTAAAAAGGTAAAAACTAAAAAAACTATTAACTGTAATCCTCATTCACAACCTTAGATCTCTCATTTATCCTTCCATATCAACTAGAATTTGGATTTTTGATACGCACATAGTATGACAAGTTTTTTTTTTGCTTGATTAACAACGAACTAGGGAAAAGGTCAAGTTTTAATACCCAAAGAAAATTGACGATACTAGCAAATTTCATAAATCTTAAAAAGTTTATGAACTATAATGATGAATTCAGCAAATGATATTAAATCTAAATTAAAAAGCTCAAACATATAAACTTATTGAAGCAATCCATCAACCCCAGAAAAGTGAAAGAAAAGTAATAAAAAAATATTCATATAACGTTAAATTAGAAGAGCTAGAGATATAGAAAATTCGCATTTTAGATTTTTGTACGCTCTAAACAAAGAGAAGTCGTTCATATGATTAAGACAATATATCACGATGAAACATTTAAAGATTTGAAGAATTTTTTTTTCTAAAAAAATTAAAGGGGCAGTCCGCCCAAGCCCACGGCCCGCTTAGGTTGGGTTGTAATAGCCATTTTAAGGCCCATTAAGATGGCGGGCCGTACCACCCTAGCCCACAAAATTTAAAAGACCACGAGGCTTGAGTTGGGTTGGGCTGGACCTTTTTTGACTGCTTTAATCAAAACCACTCCCAACGAGCCCGTAAGAAGTGATCCCATTTTTTTCATCTAGCTAAACTCATGATAAGATTATATCACTAAGTTAATTTTTTTTCCGATTGTTACGGCACGAAAGTTAATAATAATTGAAAGATAAAGATAGAATATCTAACAATAACTACAAGATCTCTATTTTATTAGACACAAGCTTGTTTTGAAAGATGGTACTTTAAGACTATTGAATCGTATGCTAGTTTTAGAATTGGAAAAACAACAACTAAATTTCGCAAATACAAGTAGCTTAATTCTAAAAACGGAAAAGGGCCTGATATATCCCTCAAGCAAAGAGATGACAAGAGGAAATAATGTAAGGGAGTGAAGAGTAAGAAAATAGAAGTAAAGAAAAAAATAGTGGCAACAAGCAAAGAGATGACAGAACGATGTGTTTGAACCTCATTTCTTTGTCACACTAAGATAATCTCATATACGGATTAAAAGTTTTTATTTAAGAGAAATTTGGAAAAAAATTAAGAGGGGAAAAACGAGCATGCAGGTCATGGGTTCTAGGGCGGTTTGGAGTTTTCTTGTTTTTCATTGGTTCTTTCTCTTAAAAATATTAGGGTTTTTATCATGCAAACTCAAAGAGGGGAACACCACGAGCAAACATAGCAAAACATGTCAAAAATCAGAGAAAGTTTCAAAATCAGAGAAAGTTTTGAAAGTAGGGTTTTAAAAGAAACTTCGAGAAACATGCTTAGGAGTTTAAAGCAAATATAGACCTAAAGCAGATCTAAAGAAAATCGAAAGAACCTTAGAGCTTAGGGTTTCAGAAGAACCCAAAAACAACGAGAAGGCGTTGAAAGCTATCAATCCAACCAAAAGAGTCAAAGATCTAACTCGAATGGTCATAGCTGGCCGGAGAAATGCCACAGATGACCGGAGAATAGCCATGAACTAACATCGAACAAAGGATGGACCAAAGTTTTTCATGGTCTGGCCTTGAAACCATAAGAACAAACACAAAGGAGCCATGTAAGGTCGTCATGAGTCTCCGCTGACCTTGGAAAGCCATAGGTTAGGGCGGAGTGGGGTGGCGGCGGTTAGGGTTTGACAGTGATGTAGAGAGGATTTGAGAGACGAGGGAATTCAGAGGTGGCGTGTTGTGAGGAATGGTAGGGTTTAGGGGGTCGTTTGGGCTTAATTAGGTAGGGGCAGCCGATGGCCGTTGATCTAAATGATCAACGACCGAGATTTAAAAGGTTAGGTGGGGGATCTAGGTATGGGTTAGTTTAATTGGGTTTTGGTCGGGGTTTAATAGGAATTGGGTAAGGGAATTGGGATTCAAATTGGGGTAAAATTAGGCTACAATTGAAGTGAAATCCGGCTAGATTTTAAATATCCATTTTCCCCTTTTGATTTATAAAAAATAGTAAAATAACTTCTATAAATAAATTAAAGGTGCTAAAATAATTTATAGCATATAATTAGTTATTAAAAATACATGACTTAATTTTGTGAATATAAAACATAGTTAAATCTAAACGGGGGCTAATATTGCTATTGTATGCAATTTTAGCTTAAAAATTCCAAATGAATTTGTAAAAAATATAAAAAAATTATCTCAGTTATATTTTAGTACAAATATGAGAATCCAATAAATGAATCACCAAAAAATGATAATTTGGTAATTATTATTGGTTTTTATGAATGAAATAAGGAAATAAATTGGTTTTAAAATCTTTAACAACAGCTGACGCAGGCGAGGATCTCGTTAATTAGAGCGCACGGGTTGAGAATTCTTGGTGAGCCTCCCACTTGTTCGTGTGGGCATAGATTTTATTTATTGTTATGGTCTTTCCATTGAACTTTTAGAGTTGCTACATAGTCAGTATTTTAGTGTAATGAGTATTCTTTTGTTATTATAGTCTTATGTTGAGTATTGTTCTCATTTATCAAAGTTGGAGATAAATTAGTATTTCTAGTGGTTAGTTGGTGATTTAGTTATGGTGGAGACTTGTATTGGTTAGTTGACAAGTTGTCAATTGTTTGGTATGATATTAGGATGTTTGGTTGTTGATTTGAGACAACAGAAATTTTTGGGATGGTCCAAAAACTGGAAAAACTCTGTCCGATTTTCTGTAAAATTTCCGACGAGGCTTACTTGGGAGCACTAGCTCCTGAGCGCCAGTCACGGTCCTAATTTGGGTCATGACAAAGTTGGTATCAGAGCTTAGTCTTTAAGTCTCGAGACATGGAGCAATGTTTAGTAGAGTCTTGTTCATGGGTAAGTAGGCGCCCATACTTACAATCTCGAGGCTACTGAACATTTAGGAATGTTTCCTTTCTTTCATTCTTTGAATGTGCGTTGAGATAACTTGAGATTGACTTTCGAATATTTCCTTCACAGATGGCTAGGACACGCACA